CGGTCACCTCAACCGTTATGTCCACGCGCTACGAACGGCCGTCGATGGGTCGGATATTACGTGTTTCCAACAACACCCCGGCCAACCCCCATTCCCCTCCGACCATGTTTATTTCATAAAAGTGTATATAGGTAGTGCCTACTAGGTACTGTTTTTCAACGAGTTGCACCTTGACGATTAACGGGACTCGACGATAGTATTGTTGACTTGAGCGTAGAAAACCGTTGTACAATATCTGAAATACGAGCGAGCAACAGGATCGATCGAAAGCTCGCGCGATAATAGCGAGGTAACGGTGGGAGGCGTTCGAAACGATTCAACGTCTAGTACAGCGTTTCTGAATTCTTTTAACGTCACGTCCCCCGAAATAGGTATACAATAAAACCAATCATCACATGACCTCCCCAAGTTCCTTTATAATGAAAAATTAACTAAGCTTTTATCTGTTCCACCAGCTACAAAAAATCATTAACGAAACAAATAACTAATTCAATTTAACTTCAAATGACATCGATAACAATTTAAATTCGAAAAGTCCTATTCTTTATCGTATGTTTAGGACATCATGAAAATATATTTGAGATAATTGAAAATTCGGTTACAGGAGTATTTCTCAAGTGGCTACGATAACTTTTCGAATAGTTGGGTTTTCTTAATCTATTTGAAGATAACGTGGTTGTGGTTGCCAAATTACAAGTTGAGATTCACAAATAACTTACATAATTATAGGTTGATAAAGCACTACAACTACAATTTTCAGCTTAAAATTTAAATACGGTTTGGCTCGTTTGATGAAATTAATACAGAAGTCTAGTAACAGAAGTGTTAAAAATATTGGTTCCATTTGTCACATCTTATCTATGCGAAAAAGGCTTCTCTTCTATAGTAGCATTAAAGACTAAATACAGAAATTGCTTGTCATCATTAGAAAATAATTTACTTCTATGTTTTCTCAATGTCGATTCACAAATAGACAAACTTTTGAATATAAATACATCATAAATATCACATTATTTTATACTTTTTACTTCATTATTCATTATTTATAGTGTCATTATTCTATAAACTAACCTTTTAATTTTTTTTCATTTTGTTTGTGTATTTATTTTTTTATTTTTAGTATAAATAAAAGATCGTTTTTCTATAAAAATAATTAATTATTTCTGATCGATAAGACCTCTCGTCTAAGGGATCATGACCCACCCTTCCTCAGTTTAGGAACGCTGGTTTAGCATGTTATACGTTATGTAAAATGGCTGCTGTTGACGTTAAATGATAAGTTTGAAATTGATAAATTATTAATTTTATGCATTCGTGGTATTTTTTTTTAAATATTTTTATGATTTTTAGATCTTTACATTTTTGAAAATATTTTTTATTATATTTTAAAACTAATTTCCAGTATTTTAGCACATATTAAGTTATTAATTACAGAACGTTTTCGAATGTCTTAGCTCCCACGATATTCCGATTTTTATTATGTTTGTTTGGTTGTTCTAAGACATTTTTAGTCGAATGAATCGAATGTCATGCTTAAATATTTTTATTTTTATTTTTAAAAAGTGTATTTCTATACTGTGATATTAATTATAATGTACATCTTCTGTGTACTGAGTATTATGTAGTTCGAAATATGATTTATATTTAATTATGTAATAATCTACATAAATAGGTAGGGTTATTATTTACGTCGCATCTTGTTGCCACGATACGACAGAATATAATCTTTTGTCGTCGAACGTGATTTAATGTTATAAGATATTAAGCATAAAAATTACTTTTTGTGTGAGTCCACTGTCAGCGCCATAATGTTATATTTATATTGTTGATAGTATTTTCTAAATCCGTGTCGTGGCAACAGTCTTAATTATGAACTTGTATTTCTCAGATTACTAATATAACGTTACACTTGGCAACTGGTATTAGTGATGGGGGAGGGGGGGGGGGGATGAATAGTGAAAACTATCTAGCAAATTTCAAACGTGTATAAGTTATTAACCGTATACACTACTAGTTTTATAGTTGGGACGGGTTTTTGGGATCCATCCAAACGCATCTTAACGCCCCCATCAACAGATATTCTGTTTCCCTGGCACCGCTCTGACTTCTATTTTAAAACTTATAGTTCACTAGTTGCTCGATTAACAAAAATTGTTCATTGCTATCCAAATAAAGTAAAACGCGCAAACATTATCGTACACACGTACCTATAACACATAAAACATAGGCGTATGACCGTACCGTGTTTGTTTTATTCAATACAAACAACAATTACATCTGATGACTCGGCTAAACTAAATCGTAAATGCCGTTGACTAATTCATCTTTTTTACATTACGTGTTATAATATGCATGGAATATGCTGCACTAAACATATAAAAGCATAATTCATGGTTTTGCAGGAAACAATTATAATTTGCTATTATTTTTAAACAGTACTATTATTAGTACTACGTTCACGCAATACATATTTCCAAATAAATTATTTTTCTTACAACAATATTTGTCATAACTACTTTTGGTTTCGTCAATTTTAAAATAACTGTTTGAATTGTCGACTATTATGAGTTATCTTACGATTTAGGGATACATATTATATTAATTTATTCATTTAGGGTCGTAAATGCAAAAACACTCGTTACTTTAAAATCTAGGTACCAGGTGATCTAGAATAAAACGGACGGATCAACCTTACCTAACACGCATTGATCATCGTTAGTGATTTGATTATTATTTATTTTTTTTTTTTAAACGTAACATAATGAAATATTTTGGATCTCATTGTATGATTTGATCTTATTTGATAACCTACAACAATAGTGGATTTTCGATCGGAAATTCGATACCTATCGCGGCTATCTTGTTGATTTATTAAAAATTATAATGGAAAACTAAATATGAATAATACATATTATGCATATAAAATTGGGTATTGAATGAGGCCCCCCTATTGCTATTGATATTTTATAAATAATATTTATCTATTAATTTGACTAATAAATGTAATCAATTTCAAAAAATTATTCATAGTAAATTTTTTTTTCAGTTACAACTGCAGTTTGTCTGAAAAAAATTATTATAATAAAATATTGTTAAGCTAATTGTTATAATTGAAGTTAAAACTAAATTATTGCTAAACTAAAGTACTTTAAAAAAAAATATTATAACTTAAATAGAAAAATGTATCGAATTTTATGAGAAATCGCAATAAAATATACAAAAAAAAACGAAAAATTAAGTAGCAATAGTGAAGTTATATAGGTCTGAGAAACAAGAACAAAAAGGTTTAAAAAACGAATACAGTTGTTATTTTCCATTGATACGATACAATGACGGCTAGGAAGAATCGACCATGATGAATCGTGGCGGTAAGATGCGAAAACATGTATCACTGCAGACAAACTAATATAGCGCCTCAGATAGTATATTGGGTCTATAAATAAATCAGTAATATGTAATATGATTACAAATTGGAACTTAAGTGATAAGTAATAAACAACTATCCGTATAGGAACTTATTGAATTCCTCGCAGCGCACAGGTATTATAAATATATACCATGGGTGGCCACAACGACGCACGCGGCTTTTAAATCAGTTTCGTGCGGCTCTTACCAAATGTAGACTAAAATTATTAAACATAAAATTTTGTTAAAATCGTTAGAAACATTAGATAGTTTTTTTACTGTCGCCGCGTCGGTTTCGTTATCATTACAGTCGTTATTCGTTATAGATTGGCACGGCGGCTATGCTTTTAGTATGTGTAGCCAAAATATGTTTTCATTTTATAAACATCGCTCTAGTGCAGGGGTGGGCAACTGGCGGACCGCGAACATTTTTTATCTGGCCCATGCTATATTTTTAAATTACATCATACAATTTTAAAGTTTATCGTCTATACTCTAGCTTATGGATATTACAATTGTTATCTGGTATTAAACATTGTTAAATGTCTAAATGTATGTATACGTAATATGACATTTAGTTACATTTAGTTTACTATATTTGAAAGCTATACGTATAGTTTTCAAACATTGCTGTTTGTACCGTACTGTTAAACTATATCAGTTTCTTCGTATCATTCGTGTCGTGCTGTCACGCGTGTTGAATTTATTATTTCGATGTATATAAATGCTAATTAAAATTCATATTTTGAACGATCTTTTTTTTCCCCTATGCTTTGGCCCGCTGGATTTAAATTTTCTAAAAATTGGCCCTCTAGTAACTTTGAGTTGCCCATCCCTGCTTTAGCGGTTCGCCTAGAATTAGCTTTATAAATTTGTGGTTCCCGAAGTTAAGGTTAGAAGCCACCATTGATGTGTACCGTGCACACTTTGTACTCGATATCGAACGAATACGGGTTCGCGCGGTAATAGGGACGGCTTATAGGAGATGTATGTGTATACATAATAGTGTACCTATTATACGGTTGTATACGTGCAGCGGTACGTGGACGACGGTAGTATAACACTGCGAATTTTTCCCGCACACTCTTCGGCCGACCGAACAACGAGAGAAAAAAAAAAAATGAATACGGATACGCTCGCGCGTACATCGGACAATGCGAAAACTATAATGGGCACTGCAACCCTTTTGCTCGGGCCGCAACCGGTATCGTCACGGATTACAATATCGGCCTAGGACGTATCGCGCAGGGCCGAGCAACAGCGAACACAATAATAATGATAATAACGACAACAATGCGCGTCTACTCTCGTACGCGTATAATATATACGCGGGCACAATAACAACAACAAAAACCGTACGGTTATCGTTGTGCGTGCGCGAGCGGAGGAGACTAACGTTTGGCGCGCGCGCGAGTGCATCGTAGTGGGTGGCGTCGGCCGATCGGTGGCGTGCGCCGGTCGCGCGAGCTCTCCCCGCGCGAACCCGAAGGCGGTGACGGCTGCTGCCGCCTCGGGAGCAGGTGCAAAGTTTTTACATATTAAAACATTCTCGTCCGCGGCGGCGCGCACACGTCTCTCTTCCTCTCTCTCTTTCTCCGTCGCGTCTCCTGCGACGAGAAACGACTCCTGCAGGCTCCGTCTGCAGCCGTCGGCCATCGGTGTCCGCGCGCGCCCGCACACCGTACACGTCACGTCGTCTCGTTTCACTCCTTTCCTTTATCGACGGCGCGCGCGCGACACACGCCGCACGCCACCGCCAAATGCGGTATCGTTATCGCCGTTGTTACTCGCGGACCCGCGCGATCGGCAACTACGAATCGCGGGTAGAGGACGTCGAGGTGTTGTTATACCCAGCCCGAAAAAAGTATTCAAAATCAATCTAAATCGTTTTCCAATACGGAATTCAATTTCTTTCAAATGCATATCATCCCCGTTCCGCGATAATAAATTCTGTTGCGCCACTGTACACGATCATATCACGCACGCGTCAAGTCCCTCGAAAAAACAATCTACCGCGGTGGTGGTACACGTACCTTCAAACAACTTATTAACCCAACCTATCGTATTGTATTGTCGAATGTCCAGTCGCGACTCGCAACGGAACGTTGATTTTTCCCCTTTTACGATAAACTCCATACATACGCGTGGTACTGTATATTATCGTAAACCACATTTCACTAAATTTTCTAAACGATTTACGAAATTATTTCTGCAGAAGAAACCATGGTAGCTAGCAGGACGCGGATACTAACCTGCAGATACACACATTTCACGTGCTACCTACTATATTTTGTGAGTAATTAGATGTTTTATTTGTAACTTGTATATATGTCATGTAACACGTGGCATACGTATTTTGTCCAGTAGAAATAAGTAACATCATTAACTCGACAATGAAATATGATTGACATAGAATCTCAAAAGCATGTTGTATCAAAAAAAAAAAAAAAAAGTGCCTGTCCATAGACATATACCGCTTGACTACACACCATTACACAACATCCCCATTGTCCAAACTAAAAAACCCGCTATACTAAGACGCAGTTCCTTCGAAATTGTTATCCCTAAAAATAAATACAACAAGTAAAACATCCCGGACACTTTTTTTCTAGTACAATGATTGTAATAAATAAATAATAATTACACTTTTCATAAACGATTCAAATAATTGTTCTGATGTTACAACAGGAATTATATATTTTTCAATTTTAGATCCTGATTTGTTTTAAAAAAAGTGTGGTGCTGGTCAGGGCCGGTGATAGGGTGGGGTAGGGAGGGTTAGAGCCCCGGGACTCGTACGTCCGAGAGGGCCCGTCGTTTGTATACAATGTTTTTGTTGGTGCGTCTTAGTCAAACGATTGCAAAGGGGAGTGGGACCGGAACCCCCGCAGACCCGGGGCCCCTTCAGAAGTTCTCGCCGGCCCTGATGCTGGTAAGTATTATTAAAGTTTTCGACGTTAATTTGATTTCCATCATATATATCTTACGCATTATAAGTGACTTACACATGTGTACATATCAAATTAAAAATTGAAAAAAAGATTTAGCATCCGTTTAGTTAGATTAAATATGAATTTGGATATTTTATTAAAAAAATACAAATATATGTTATGTATACATAAGAAAAAATACATCTACGATTTAAATAATCCTTTTTCAATTTACAAGAATAAAACGAATAATTTATAACACTACATCGTAATTGCTATTTTAATAATTAATCGAAGGGAAATTGAAACTTTTTCATAGTCATAAATTAATTAAGTATAATTTATGTTAATTAATTTATGTTACGTTTATGTATTTATCTATTAATTAATTTATTTATATTTATGTATTATTTAAGTATAATTTATGTTCACTTCGTCTACAACAGTATATTCGGATACTCTTTATAGTATAATAAATACAATATTAGTACCCTAAAAATTAAGGTATTGTATTTTATAAAACATGCCTATATGATTATAAATTACTATTTTCCACGAATGGGCGTATCATAACTATTTACCGACCAATGGATATCATTCCCTCCATATCAAAAAACTTGTTTTGGAGTTTTTAATTAATCTAGTTTTCACACACCTGCCAGTTATTCTGTCAATTTTAAATAATATTTTTAGTTCTTCGTGTTTTTTAGTGCACACACGTATTTCAAAAATGTATATTATAATATCAAGGTACTAAATTATCTTACGAGAAATTTAAAGGAAACTTAATGCGTTGTATTATTGCTATACATGTTTAAATTACGTATTTATGTGATAGAGCCGACGATTTTTTGTAAGTATTATTGTTGTCATTTTAATGAATGTTAATTGATATAACATATAATACGTCATAGACTATGGTACATTACACATCGTCGTATCTATAAGTTAACCCGACTGTTTGAGACAATTTGAGAAAAAAACCGTTAAACGTTATTGTTTTAAAATTGATTGAATGGAAATGTAATTATTGTGAAATAAAGCTGACGCATTAAAATACTTGAACGAGTATGTATATAATATATAAACGAATATGTATATAAATTTTATATAATATATAATATACAGTAGGTATACGTTGTAGCTATATCCGTACGGTATCGTGAAAATAATGCAAGTCCAATAACATTTCAATTTTCGTTTATATTATTTAACATAATAATATATATCGAATAAAAATAAATTGCTTGTACCAACAGGAAAATTGATACTTATTGTTATGTATATTATCTACGAAGCGCAAAAATTAGCGTTCGTATTTGAAAATGTTATATGTATAACTATAGAGCAAAATACATAAATTATCCTAGTATTTGATTAATTCAAACATTTAAACATTTTTTTTTTTTTTTTAAACGATATTACCAACTATTTTTAAATGGGTGACAAAAACATACAATTTTTTGGATTAATTTGAATTAATTTGAATGTCGTACGTAACAGGACAATAGTGAACCGTGAGAAGAATATTAAACGCTTAGGTCAATTCCAACAACGTTAAGTGTTTGTTTCTATTTAAACATAATTAATTGAAGAACATCGAAATATTAAAGTTCTACGGGACCCAAAACAATCCATCGTATTTTTCGAAGTGGATAAAAGCATATAAACTAGAGCTCTTAAAACACGTGTCACGGAATTCACGTGTACACGTGAAATACGTGTTTATCCAAGTATAAATCCATTTTTATAATGATGAAAATTAGTAATTTTATGTTATACACTTGAAGTTTTAATAAAATATTATTAGTACAGTATTAAGTTAAGGATATACGTTTTTATTTTGAATTTTTCACGTGACACGTGACACGTAAATTCCGTGAATTTACGTGTATTAAGAGCTCTAGTATAAACTATTGTAAAAAACCGAGATTAATCAAACTTTTGTTGATTTAATTTAATAAATATCGGTTCAAACACATAAACTTCGCTCAATATCAAGTCGGTCAGTCGAAATCTGAAAGGTAAACAGTGTCACAGAATGTCTAGAACATGAGCGAATGGGCAAATATGGTTCAATGTATTACACGTCAACATTCTGTACACACGATCCAACGAAATTCATCGGACGCACGCTTGCCCTGTGGGACGCGCAAATATGCTCTCTCACGTATACTCCTCTCTCGTCTTAAGCACCCGTAAATGCAGGCGGCTCGTTGGACCACCTGTCGTGACAATCGTACTTGCCGTCTAGGTGAGTAAGACTCGTTTGCGCATGTTTACTTTTTTTTACGACTCGTTTACGCACAAAAGCGCAATTCGTTTGCTCACACATAATTTAGGTTTAAACAACAAAAAAACAGCTGGAGCTGATCCACGCACATTTACCATTCCACCAACGATTACGTCGGTTACTTGATGTACGTGTGGATGAACAGGAATGACTGTTTTAATGTTTGTGAAAACTTTCTGCACCATTAGTAGTCTTGGGATTATTAATAGGTTCACAAGCCAATCATTTCGGAGGAAAATTTCTGTCCGATGTTAAGTAAATTTCTTATATACAATATACAAGTGATTCCTAATTCTGTATTAGGTGCTATCGATATAAGAACATAAAATCCATATGAAACTTTTTCGAGGTGTAAATAACGTAATACGATAAAACATTTTATCCATTTGCCAATTTCAGAATCACTGTTTGCATGGGTGTCACTAAGGGGTATCGAGGGGTATTCTTGCTACCCCGAAGTTTTTGTGGTATAGCAAGAGTATCTTTTTGCTACCCCAAAAAAAGTCATAGGTTTTAAAAATATATTCAATGTTTATTATTCAAGTGTGTACGTAGACTATGTATATAGACTATATTATTGTGATTGTATCCAAAATAATTATATTTTGTGATAAGTCCAATAAAAATGATAAGGTAGTGTATACACTATACGTCATACCAAGATTTATGTAGAAGAGGTTAGCTAATTACCATATATAAAAAAATTTTGTGTGGACTCTATTGACGCCCATGACTGAACGGGTCTTTCGATTTTATTTTAACGGCGGGTTACGTTGTGCGCAAACGTGTCGTCAATTTTCATGTAAAACATTTTGAATTTGTGCAAAAAAGAGTTGCACCGCATCGCGGTGGTGTACTCGTTCAGCCGCATGCGTCCGCCGATCGTCTTGATGAACAAATCTACTAAACGGCCGCGGTGGTACTGCCGGTCGCGAGACCGTAATAAAATCATTGTTCGATAAGAAAATACATTGATGTAATCGATGCGAAACGGTTTTGACTATATTCACTTTATTCACGGGGAATTTGGAGACTTATATAAAACCATCGGTCATCAACTAAATTTGTTGAGGATATCGGATTCGTTTTACAAATACGAAAATGAGGAGCACTTTTTTTTGCAACGGTGGATAAGGTAATTAGTAAATTTCAAACATTGCTAGAAAGTGATTATTTCACTGGAAATGAAGAAACACCCTTCATAAATTATTTCGAAAGCACGTGAATCGGAAATTTGGATAAAAAAGCAAGACGTCGAGCTCCATTCTTTTCGATTGAAGTCTGTAACGGTTTTAGTTGTACTCAAGATGATCTTCCCGTGACCAACAATAATGTAGACGCGTGGCGTAATTCATTTTCGGCACTTTGTACAAAACCGATCATTTGGAAAAATGTATAGATCCTTAGAAAAAAAGATTCGAGCTTAACTATAATGGTAAAAGAACCATTACCATTGGACATGTAATAGAAAAAAAAAAAAAAGAAAAGAAAAAAGATGTATATAGATTCGTCAAAAAGAATACTATACATAATCAGGAATTTAGAATTTTCCACTGACAATAATAATAGGTATTGTTATACAAATTAAAACTGTACAAATATTTTCCCACCTTATATTAATTGTTGTGTTTTTACAGTTCAATTTTAATATTTAATTATTTTTTCAAGACATATATGTGTATAATATTTTTAATATCTCTGTATCTGTGTTTATTTGTTGTCACTGGATAGATATAATAATAAAATGCGTCGAAATGTAGGTAAGTCGAAATGACACGATCAATGTTTCTTTCAAACACTTCTTGGGAGGAATGGTTTAAGTTTAAACTATACATTTTCATATTTATATAGTTTATAAACCACCTTTACTCTACAAAAACTTTTTTAATATTTTTCCTGAATTTTGGGAGTAGTTGAAGCCTTAACCCCCACCTTACGTACTTATCAATAGCAACTGTGAATTAAAAATTTAAATTTAAAATGATTTGATACAAATTGTATTTGTAAATTATGAGAGGCCATCTTAACAAAGTGCATAATGGTAATATTTTTTTCGTTATTTATATTTT